CAAATATTTCTTCATTAACATTTCCTTTTGCGTAAGAAGTCGACAAGTTTATTAGTTTCTTTTAGGTTCTACAGTTCTCTTAGACATTCTATAAACAAATTACTAGTCCATTATTTTCAATGTTTACAATGTTTGTTTGTTTTTTTTTTTTGCTTTTTTTTGCGTTTGTGCTAGGTGTTTGGGAGTATGGAGGTGCTTATTTAAGTAATACGCAATCTGTTTCGGGCTTTTAAAAAAAGTATGGATACACTGCTCTGTGGCGTTGGGTGACATATATTTGGTCAAACTGGCACAACCCGTGTGTACGTGTGAAGCTCGAATACAAGTCTGCCACTGGTGTCTGTTTGTACCTTTTTTGACGGAATAAATAGTGAAGAAAAACTTACAACGCAGTGACGGGTCTCAAATCTTTCAATACATTACGTCCTAAAATGTGTTATGGTGGTCTCAGCTTAAAAACGGACTCTATTAAATCAGTTCTTTAAGTCTTAAGTATTGTAATGTCTTATCGCGTTTTTCTTTGTTTTCTTCAAAACGATAAACCATTATTTATCGATGCAACAACCCCTTAAAGGTTTAAAATATAGATTAATTTCTAGTTTTGGTTTATGTTACTCTTACTGCTTCTAGTTCACTATTCAGTATAATATGTAAGAGACTCTGTTCAAGCCACGTGAAGGAAATAATAGTAGAGGACATGGTAAAGCTTGAAAGGAAAAAGAAAGAGGACAATTAAAGCAATATGTTTTTTTTTCAATGGACTGAACATACTACAGAGAAAAGGTTTCCAACCAACCGTAAATTCAAGGACAGGCCATACAAATTTGAAATAAAATGTCTTCTCCGTAAAAGACCGTAAGAAAGTTATGATGTCCGTAAATGCATACTAATCATTTGAAGGGAAAAAAATGCGTTTGTGATAATTTCTTGCTTGATTTAAAATGGGATGATATGGCTAAAATCAGGACATATTCAATCAACACTTATAAGTACGCCAATAATAATTTGTCGTATTCGTCTTTAAAAAGTTGGCTAATTAATTAGAGTAGCTTAAAGAATATATATATATATATATATATATATATATATTATATGCCAACTAGGAACTGAAAATTTAGCAAATACTTTCTAAGGCTGGTGATAATTGGCATAGACTACTTGGTATAAGATGGCAGGACAGAGTCCCTGACACAGAGCAACGCCGTGGCCATAGGGACGTCTGAGTCGTCCAGTAAATATTTAAATTCTCTTAGTTTATTATAATGAATTGTGTATCCCGTGTCCGGGGTCGAGAAACGATATTCTGACTTTTCGTATAATCGTTTTTCATACAATTAGTTTTCATGCAATGATAGTTGCATTCTTAATTTGCATACTAATAGTGAGGTTGGGACCAACCGAAAGGGCGTCGAAATTAATTTATTGATACCGTATTTCCTTGTCCCTCTTACAATTATTTCAGCAGAAAGAATATGGGGAACAAAAAGCTTTCCGGGGCGCAAAGCCGCAAGCGCAAAGCAGAAAAATTAAGACGTAATCGAAAAAAGAGCGGAGCCATACGGGAATAGGGAAGTGGGCGACGAACGGGGACTTTGCACAGGGCAAAAGGTTACCTAAGAGGTCCTACAACGTTCTGATTTTATCAGCATCACCACGCACCTACAAAAAGGACAAGTCAGATGGGCAGGACATGTTGCGAGAATGCCAGACAGCAGACATCCCAAATGCCTGGTGTTTTTGATGAACTCTTCAGTGGGGAAACGCTCAACTGGTGGGCAAAGAACAAAAAAAAAAAAATGGTGGGCAGAAAGGACTATATAATAGCGTCTCTCAAATCCATCAAACATTCACCTTGATTCGTGTAAGACACTTGCTATGGACCGTGCAAGCTGGCGTGGTAGACTCACTATCGGAGCACAAGCTGGCGTGGCAGACTCACTGTCGGAGCACAATCCTTAGAACATAAGTTCCCCGCTGAGCCCCAAATAAAGCGAATGGCAAGGAAAAAACAAAATCTACTCCAACTATGCCAGCACCCAAAATAACTTGCGTCCCTCGTGCGGGATAGCTATCAAGGCACAAATAGGACTGTAAGATAGCGGGACGAACGGCAACAACAATAGAATCTCTTTTGTTTTAGTTTAGGATAGCGGTATTAAACTTTTTTAGATGCAAATGTGCGGATGAGGGGGATGTTTGGTAAACATTATTTCGCTGCATCATCAAACGACAAAATATCAGCCAATCGCAGCTCGTATGTGTGGGTACATTGTTCGTTTGATAAAATACGCGTAATATTAATAACTGTCAAAGGTCGAGACATTTGGATATGAGAGTTACCGAGGATTGGGCAGGTAAGGAGGGGGTCCTTGGCTGGAGCAAGTTCTCACAAAATAGCCGTGGGAACGGCGCCTATCAATCCCAAAAATGATGTACTCCTATCTCGCACTTGAACACAAATAACTCACCGACCAGCTTAAGCTTCATCGTATGTTCGTTAGTTAGATGGGAGCTTACATTGACACACATGGCCACGAACACCCACTTAAACGCTCACGGCTCCTGTTGGCGTTTTTTCCCTCAACAAATCTCTGTACGGCCCGACCAAGAAATGACGTCGTCTGCTCGGCGTTGTTGGGGGTGGGTGACGCGTTTGGAGTGAAGCGATCCTAGCGGAACACTAAACAAGGGGGAGTAATTAACTCCTGGGTCCATTAGGATAATCATGAATAATGAGTGGGCGATTTCAATTGATGACAGAACGGTATAAAAAGCCTACAGCTTTCATTTGACAGTTCACAGTGCGAGTTCCGATGCGAGTTACAAGGAAAGACGACTTCTTTTTAACAAACTTTGGAACGTTCTGGAATTCAACAACAACACGTTTAACAGTTAAAGTTTTTGAGACGCAAAAAAATGATTTTTAAATTTGTATCGTTTGCTGTCTTCGTACAGGTACGTTTCTGCATTTTAGAATTAATAATATGTTTAATAAAATTGAAGTTAAAAGTTAAAAAAAAAAAATTAAAATATCTATCATATACAAATTTATCGCAATAGTAATTAATATAATTGAACGATTATAATTATATTTGCTAACTTGATCAACGCCGACATTGAATTGCTTTGACTTGCTCACAATTTAAACTTCTTGAATTCTGGTGTTGACAAAAAAAAAAAAAAAAAAAAAAAAAAAAAAAAAAAAAAAAAAAAAAAAAAAAAAAAAAAAAAAAAGGAAGAGAAAAAAAAAGAAGAAAGAAAAAAAGAAAAGAAAAGCTATCGGATAGCAGCGTGATAATTTAAGAGTAGGTTGATCTCCGAGCCCTAATATGATACAATATCTTTACCCGCCTTACACTCACATATGTTAGCTCAAAACATCATTCGATATGAAAGGTATAGGAAGTTTAGCTTCTATGCTAAAGTTTAGCAATGACCATCGTAACGATGAACAGTGTGCCAAAGACAGCTGGTAAAGACATGTGTTCATTATTTTTTTGGGGGTGGGGGGGGGGGTTTAAAAAAAAAAAATTGGGTTGTTTGGGGAGGGGGGCTTATTTGAATTTAAATCCTTTTTTTTTTTAATTTTTTTCAATTTTTAAAAGACAGCTGGTAAAGACATGTGTTCATTATTTTTTTGGGGGTGGGGGGGGGGTTTTAAAAAAAAAAATTGGGTGGATTGGGGAGGGGGACTTATTTGAATTCAAATCCATTTATTCTTTAATTGTTTTCAATTTTTAACAAACCAATTTTTGAACAAATCAATTTTTGAATTAAACCATTTTTTTTTCTGAGGTTGAGTTTTATGCACAATTATATACATTTTTAAAGATTAATTTTTAACAATTGCTTTCAAATTTCTTTTTTTCAGCTGATTTCTGGCTTTGCTTGTAAGTGATTTTTACTTCATTTTTTTCTTTTTAAAAGTAATTAACACGAAAAGAAAGATAATTTCTTGATTACTTGTAAAGAAAACATTTGTCATTATCAGAAGAAATCATTTTGTAACATAACGTGCTGGATTGAGGGAAACACAAAAAGAATTTATGTTAATTAAATGCAAACTCTAATCCCATGTATTTATTTATTTGTATGAATCTTGCGTAAATATGTCAAGTGGACACTTTGCACAGCAGCCTTACGGAGTAATTGAAATGACATGATACTGTAATGCATAAGAAATTAAGAAGGGCGGGGGGGGGGGGGGGGGGGGGGGGAAATAATACTACTTAAATGGGTCATTTCCGTTCCCGTTGCTAATTTTGAATAAAGGGTAAAAAGTTGTTTTGTTTTATGTATGAATCTTGCGTAAATATGTCAAGTGGACACTTTGCACAGCAGCCTTACGGAGTAATTGAAATGACATGATACTGTAATGCATAAGAAATTAAGAAGGGCGGGGGGGGGGGAGGGGGTGCGGGGAAATAATACTACTTAAATGCGTCATTTCCGTTCCCGTTGCTAATTTTGAATAAAGGGTAAAAAGTTGTTTTGTTTTACGCTATGTTTTAGCGTCGCCCGATTGAATCAGGTCAACATTTTACGACTGGACTTCACTTTTGTTTGAGTTTACTGCTGGTACAAACATAAGAGCTGTGTCGTAGCGACACAACATGGGGCCTCTGTTTTTTTTTAAAAATATGGGCTGAAAATAAAGATGAAATAATAGAATATGAAAGGGAAAACTTCATTTGGTGGACAATGAAATGGTTTTTTTTCTAACTTGCTAGATCAACGTTGACAATCCCATCAAATCAAAGACCAATCTCCCCCCCCCCTCCCCAGAAACTCAATTTACAGAAATCTTTAAAATACAATAATTTTACATGATTTCTGGTCACTTTAAAGGACGAAAATTTTCTTTAAAACCTTTCACTGCAAATAACATTATGAATATATATATTTTCAAAGGAGTCGATGATAATGATAGTTCTGTAGGTTTTTAAATAATCTCATTCAATTCTATCTTTAAAAAAAGCCTTATTTGTGTTTCCATTTAGTCAACTCGGAAGATCTCAAGTTGTTTGGTGTCAAGAGGAGAGAAACTGTAGTGGACGAGGGATCACATTTTTTGGGTAAGATAAACAAGTTATATAGCTTGTGCCTTATTAAAACAATGTTAATGTTTTCAATGAATTAACACGCAGTCAAGCAGACAAAGACCTGAACAGCATTAACTGGGAAAACAGCTCTGTTTATTCGTGAATATAGCGTTATCTTAAAATCTGAGAGTAACACATTCTCATCGCCTCTCCATGTTGTCTTCTACAGTGTGCGAACAGGAGCCGCTTGAACTTGGCATCGTCCTTGACTCCTCCAGCTCAATTTCCAGAAAGGACTTCCAGACAGGCATCTCATTCTTGCAGGAATTTCTCCAGCAGTTCGAGATCGGACCAGGCCCTAAAGACGTCAGAGTGTCCATTATCACATACGGCAAAGGCATTTATCCCTATGTAAGAATTCCTGAAAAAACTTCCTTGTAACAGGGGCGAAGGGGGTTAGACATCATGTGATCTGGTGTACCCAGTTTGAGACATGCTTTCTAAACACGCTAAATTACATAGCTCTAATTTTCATAATTACAAATGTTGCAATAATGTAAATTATAACAGAAAAAAACAACAATGTGTTTTCTCAAATTGTTTCGCGTGCTGACATTTGGCTAAGTGACTTTAAAACAAGTTTAAAAGCAGGGCTTTCATTATGCACAAAATTCAGATCACCACATACAAATGGCCTGGGGGACGTCCGGTCGACCCAGACGTCCCATCCATTAACAGTAACAACTATTAATGGGTCACCACATACAAATGAACCAATTAAACTAATTCCTTAAGTTTGGACATAGAAATTGTAACCTACTGCCTCGGGTGCACCTGAATCTTGCAAAGCTTGATAAATAATGAATTAAATTAAAGGTGTGCGATGAAATAAATGAAATGAGACATTGAAAATATGATTGAGGATGTGCCTTTGTCTAAGGGTGAGTCGTATGTGGCCCATCACTATATCAACTCTTTGTTGTCTTTCTTCTTTAGGACGCCTTTAACCTGACCACATACAACAGCAAACAGGACGTGATCACTGCCATCGGTCGTGTCCCTCACAGGGCCGGTCTGTACACAGACACAGGCTTGGCCATCAAGTACATGCACGAGGCTCAGCTCATCGATGGTGTGGTCAGACCAGAGGCTGAGAAAATCGGGCTCGTCATCACAGACGGTAATTCTCAGATGTAAGTTGAATTTTGATAAACGTCTTGTGCCTTCAAGAGAATTTCAAATATTATTTGTTTTTGCTTCACCAGAGATAATCTAAAGCGGTCATCGAAAGTATGATTATTCGAAGGCAAAGAGGCTTAACATTTTTCATGAAATTAACAGTTCAAAATCGCTTCATTTAAAAAGCTTTATAAAAATATAATTTGTTTGTTATTGCTATAATTAAATCTACTTGCCTTCCGGGTAGGAGCTATTGGTCGAAATTAAAAAAAAAAAAAATGTTTGTTCTGCTTTGGAGAAGATCAATCGTCACACGTAATTTTTTACACACTGCCTTCTATTGGTAGAAATTAATCTCCTATTTTAAATGTATGGTTCGTTCAAACAGTGCCTAAGAAAGGACGAAACCATAGAGAAATACAATAGCAAAAATAAGACACTCAAAACAGTACCAATTACAATTAATAAGATTTAATTTAATTTTAATGCAATTACAAAACGAAAGAAATATAATTACAAATCATCAACTTACAGAGTATGGTAGATCTTGTACCGGTACACAGATAATACAATGTGCCAATTAAAAATGTACAATGACGAAGGCGAATAAACACATAAGTACACAAAGAATAATACACGTCTCGTTAAGTTAAACATATATATATCTGAATCTCCGTCTCTGTCAATCCCTTTATATATGCAGCGTAAGCCCTGCCTTCCAGAAGCTACTCAGGATTTGTTTACGTGCCTAGAACAAATCGAGATCATTCGGCAAGATACTAGGAGACATACTAACCATGTTTAATTCGTTGTCGGTAGTAAACACGATACATCAAAGACTAAGCCATGCCCACAACAAACGCTAACGTCTGCTAGGGATCTGATGTGAGGTGAAACAAAGTTCAAGCACGGGGAAAGTGTACTACATAACATAATACCATAAGGAAATTTTCTCTAAAAAAACTTTTTTGGGGTATTTTCCCCACAGATGGAGAGTGACCAAGCAGGAAGCTGAGAAAGCTCGGGCTGATAATATCACCATGTTTGCCATCGGCGTTGGGGTTGGCATCAGGGACTCGGAGCTGCTCAACATCGCAGGGGACGAGAGCAGGGTGACAAAGGTCAACAACTACGATTCCTTGGCCAACATCAAGGAGTCCTTGGCCCACAAAACATGCATCAGTGAGTGACAACATGTTTCGGGGTTTTTGGTTGGTGTGTTTTTTTTTTCTGTTCGTTTTGTGCACTTCACTCAAGTGTTTAAAAAAGTACACTTTTAACCAACGTTTTATGAAAGTAAGGATTTTTTAAAAAAAATGTTTGTTATAGTAAAGGTGCAGTCTTGTTGTTTTATATCCATTGTCTGATAGTGTACTGATAATAAAAATCTTTGAACCTGTTTCCACAATTCTTAATGGTGCCTGCTTTACCTTCTGTTCACAGAGAAGCCCAAAACAACCCCCCTTCCCCCACTTGACGAACGTAAGTAAAGAAATAGTTCTATTTTACTCCATAATTTCATTTCATAATGGATGTTATTTGGTAATGATACACGACACATTAATATGTTGAGAGAAAGTTTTTATTTCATCGAAGTCAATTGATAATTTTAATTAATAAAGATCATGTGATGATGTTTGCCAATTACGTTTACCCACAGCTTGTGGTGTCAAGGACCCAGCCGACATTTATTTCGTGTTCAGCCCATCTCAATTGGGCCCCGACGCTACCGCCTGGACCACTTCCTTCATCTCTAAAACCATCGATGCTGAGGACTTGAATGACGGATTCAGGGTAGGTGGAGTTTAGTTGATAGGTGGGGTCAATGTTGATAGGCGTGGTGAAATAAGTGATTGAAAATATGTAATGAAATATGTCCAGGCTATTTTAACTTTGAAAGTTAGATTCCCTTTTCTTCACCCTGTGATCAAAAAGTTTTTGGGGAAAATATATAAAGTACTTTTTATTTCAAGTTCTACTCTTTTCCTGTTTGACAGTATGGCGTCGTATCCGGTTCCTGTCCTGACGATGCTGGTTTCGATTTGAACGCCTACGACAACGTCGATGACATCCGAGCAAGGATCCGGTCATACGAGGAAAGAAAACTCCCCTCTCTCGTTCAGGTAAACATTTCAAATTACAAACACAAATATTGATTAAACTTATTACCTTGAAATGTTCACAAGGTTCAAGTATCCTTTGTACACTGCAATCCTCTGATTTAAAAATGGTTTATTCTTCACTGGGCTCTGTAGGAAGAGTGGGGCGGGGGGGGGAGGCATTCATTTATTTTCTTTATCTCATGACATGATGCCGTTCTCTCTTCCAGAGGCTCGCCTCTGATGGCTACACTGCAGCTAAGGGAGCCAGAGCTGATGCCAGGAAAGTCGCAGTTATTGTGGCCAGCAAAGACAAGAAGCTTGCAGATTTGAAGGAGGAGGTCAAAAGGCTGGTTGCTGACGGGGTCAAGGTCAGTTGGTTGGGATCCATCACGTCTCAGCTAATTCTTTATTGTATAAAAAAAGTTGGTACATGAAGAGTTACACTGATCGTGGGCCCATAATATATAGAATAAGATGTTACATCAGTTCAAATACGATAATTTGAAAATGGAAGAAAGCACATTAACAAATTTTTTTCCTCTTTAAAATTAAATTCAATTATCTTACAATGTCACAGGCAAATAATCTTTGATGAATTTATATAGTTGTATAATGCGTAATATTCATTTCATACTCAATGAGTTGAAAACAACACCCAAGTGCATAAGTGTGTTCATCAATATAGTTTGGGGCGTGTGGGAGCTATTCGTCACGGGTGGGTCAAAGTCTATATACGCCTTTAACTGGGACGTTTCATCGAAGGTCGCTCTGTTTGATATTTAGTTTAAAATGTTCTATTTTTATGATGTTAACACGAAATTCGTCCTGCAACATTCCTCTCATATTCTCTTCAAGGTCTTCATCGCTGACCCGACTGGTGAAGGCATCTCCATCGAAGGAGCCACGACCTTGACCGAACGTTCGGCCGGACAACAATCTGATCTGCTCGTGGCTGCTCTGTGTCCCTCAAATGTTAGAAATTGGTGGGTCGTCTTTAATTTTAAGTTACCGTTGTAAAGATTTTAATCTATGTGTTTTTTAAATTTAAATTTCTTAATGTATATTTTAGTACCAATGTACACAGTTTATAGTCTATGAACAATACATAATTTAATATTTTAACTTATATTACTAAAATGTAGCTTTTAAACTATTTTATAACACATTTCGGAAGTGTCTTGTCAGAAACAGTACGTCATTTCCTTTACCAATAAATAAAATATTGATCTTTAATGTTTCTTTCACAGATAATACTCTCCAAACACCTTCCTCAGATCTGATGTTTACGTCATTCTTTAGCGTTGTGATGGTCACGTGGCAATATAAGGCTACAATATAAACACAATGTGGCAACAACATTGCAGTATTAAAATGAATTGCTCTTTTGTACAGCCTCATTCAGAGTTACCCATATGATTCAAAAGTTACTGCCAGTAATGTATTATAAACATAACATTTTACATAGCCAGATTCAGACAGACGAGCATAATTCTAAAAAAAGTTGATGTTGTTTTCTTCAATTTATTTCAAAACTAAAAATAACTCCCATAAACAATGAGAGCATAAATAGCTTACCATCTACTATTGTCACTTGACAAAACATGCCTTTATGAAGTAAAGCACTTACGAATCCTAATTAGTGCTAACGTCTTAGAATTTTATTATATTAAATGTATTTCCTATTATAGAAATTATACGTATATATTAAAGAATTTATATTTTTACAAATATCCATAAGCATAGATGTATATATATATTTTGCCTGTTTACCATTGATTCGATTTCTATTTTTTTAAAACAAATCTCACGATCAGTGTTTTTGAGAATCCCATTTTAAAATAGGATTTACATCTTGTGAAGCTAGTGAACACAATTTAAACGCTTTTTATTGCATTTTTTGGAATCATATTTTCACGCTATTGAACAGAGCGTTACGGTCTTACATACATACCTAGAGCATTGTTAAGGAAAAACAAAAGTAATAATTAATTTGTGATTAGTTTTTTCCCCTTAAAGACACTGAAAAATAATTATCCGGCCAGCCAAATCTATGAAATGTTTGAGTCGTCTTAGTTTTTTAAATTGCATTTGTTATAAATGTCTTTTATTTTCAATTCTGTAACTGTGAATTTTACCATTTTAATATTTTATTTTGAATTTTTGTACAATATTTTTGTTAAAACTATTATGTCCGATAATAAAACACTGCAGCTAATCTAATCTTAAATTCATTTTTTTTAAAAATACAATTTTGCTGTAGCCTACATAATGTTGAATGTTTATCGTGCATGTTCGTATATTATGTGAAGTTCAAAACTTGCACCTGCTTAGAAAAGCTGTCAAACGGTCCCCGGCAGCCAAAATTACCACTGGCTGAAATCGGCCTTTAAATAAGTGTAACATTCAAGGTTCGCTGGCTTCTCCCTCGGGGTTTAATCAGGACAAGAATAATAATAATACTAATAAAGCTTATTTAAAAATCACGCTTCGTCCCCAAAGGCTCAAAGCGCGGTACAAAGTCAACCATATTAAAAGAGAAATTTTTAAAATTCATATTTTACCACAGTGAAATACAAAAAAGCGCAACATTACAAAGACTACATACCTACAAATTTTTAGAATGTTTAGACGCCTCGACTGGCATCTAGAATAAATTCTTGACTCCAGTGCCACAAACTTTCCTGTCTTTGGTGGTGGGGGACAGTTGGTTATTTAACCAAGTTCTTGGGCGTAAAGTTGTGTATAACATCAGAGCAGACTAATTCAAAATTCTTTCTCATTTCTAATGGATGGACGCATTGCTCCTCCAATTTTGACTTGTATCATGAGGCCGTTTTATGACGTCATTATGTTCGCTTATAATGTCAATGTACCATAATCTCGACAACGAAGTTTAATCAGGCAAAGTTATAAAAAATTTTATTTATTTTTTTGGTTTGCGCAAGGTATTGACGAAATATATGGTGAGAGATCTCATGTTTAAATGCGGCGCCAAAAAATATAAATGGGGTACTTCTGTTCCCCTGGTTGGATGGCACTCGTTAACCTTAGATGGCAGCTCATCTAAGAGAGGAGAAACTCTGAAATGAAACCCGGACACGGAGTCCCGAAGGTGGTATGGCAATGACACAATGAAAATCCTGACATTGCATAAAGAGCACAGTGAAACACAAACATACACACCCTAATGATCATCTAGCGCATCCTATTATGTTCCAGTCGTCTTGACAAGTCTTCCCACTGGATCAAGTAGGCTGGGACGAGTGAGTGAGGCTGATGAATTAAGCAACTCTCCCTCACTTTAAACAGAATACAGCTCAAATCAAGACGACTAATGCAGTCGAAAATTGCCTTGGTCATCTTCTTGTGCGAAGGACGAAAAACAACAGGACGAACAACAACAGTTAGGACGAACAACAACAGTTAGGAAGAGCAGCTCCAGTTAGGACGAACAGTAACAGTTAGGACGAGCAGCAACAGTTAGGACGAACAGCAACAGTTAGGACGAGCAGCAACAGTTAGGACGAACAGCAGCAGTTAGGAGGACCAACAGCAGTTAGGACGAACAACAGCAGTTAAAGAGAACAACAACAGGTTGAAAGGTTAACCGGGGGCAGTCTGTTTACACTGGGTCCTTGTATTTTGAGAAAATACCCGGTGGGTTCAAGTGTTACCAAAAAAAGGTAACCTCTCATTTTCTAAAATACAATCCTACACCCTTTCAGCCGGCCCTTAAAGAAAAGACATACATACATATCTACACCCTCCCTGCTGGCATTTAAATAATAGACCTATAGATAGATCTACACCCTAACTGTCAGCCTTTAAAATGCTAGTTGTACACCCTACCTGCTGTCCTTTTAACACTAGTTCTAAAGACAGTTCTACACCCTACAAGCCGGCCTTTAAACAAAAGGTCTTCAGACAGTTCTTCACTATACCTTCCGGCCTTTAAACAATAGCCCTAAAGTCAGTCCTACACCCTACAGCAGAACTTTAAAGAATAGACCTAGAGACAGATCTACACCCTAGCTGCTGGTCTTTAAACAATAGGCCTAGAGTCAGTCCTACACCATACTTGACAGCCTTTAAGTAATAGGCCTAAAGAAAAATCCTACACCAGACATGTTGCTCTGAAAAAAAGGGGGGTGGGGGTCGTCTTATAAGCTGGTATACGGCGTCCAGAAACTTCGGGGACACGCGCCGTCTATTTCCAGTTTGGTTGACCGCTTAGAAAACAAACAGCATGGCAGCTCCCAAGAGTTGATTGTCATATCCTTCCTTTCTGATATTTCTTAATTCCTATTTGTTGTTCGCTGGAAGAGGGGTAGTCTAATACAATGAGTATAGCCCAAAACCCTATATTTTAACAGGAAAAGTTGGAGGGTCGTCTTATATTCCGGAAAATACGGTGATATAAGAGATTCTCGATATAAAAATAAACACTTTAGTTATGACTGGGGCTGCGTGCCGGACCAACGATCAAATAAATCCTTTTGACACAGTATTTTGGAAATTAATAGCATGCTTAAACCGCACGCCTTCCCTAATCTTCTGAAGGAAATTTTAACACTTACATCCTTTAACTTGATTTATCTCATTTTCAGAATGGTTAAAATGAAACAAGTATATGCATATTTTGAAATCGCTACTTATATTTAGAACACACCGGAGACGGCAACATACGGGACTCGCGCAAAACCTCATACACATACTGATTTTCAGCGGCACCCGGAAAACAAAATAATTTTTGTTTCTTTCTTTCTTTCTTTTTTTTCCCCACAAGTTTGTCGTTAAAAAAAGCAAACATATTTGCTGGGACGCTGAATGAAGTAGAGATCCTACTTTGGCCCAACACTATCGAAATGTGGCCGACCCCATGAGTTAGTAAGCGATACCGAAATAAAATTTAAAAAAAAGAGGGCAACCTATGGCATAACAAAAGTTGAGGGCAACGTATGGTACAACTCAAATTGAGGGCAAACTATGGCACAAATCAAATTGAGGGCAAACTATGGCACAATTCAAATTGAGGGCAAACTATGCTACAACTCAAATTGAGGGCAAACTATTGTACAACTCAAATTGAGGGCAAACTATGGCACAACTCAAATTGAGGGCAAACTATGGTACAACTCAAATTGAGGGCAAACTATGGTACAACTCAAATTGAGGGCAAACTATGGTACAACTCAAATTGAGGGCAAACTATGGCACAACTCAAATTGAGGGCAAACTATGGCACAAATCAAATTGAGGGCAAACTATGGCACAATTCAAATTTAGGGCAAACTATGGTACAACTCAAATTGAGGGCAAACTATTGTACAACTCAAATTGAGGGCAAACTATGGCACAACTCAAATTGAGGGCAAACTATGGTACAACTCAAATTGAGGGCAAACTATGGTACAACTCAAATTGAGGGCAAACTATGGTACAACTCAAATTGAGGGCAAACTATGGCACAACTCAAATTGAGGGCAAACTATGGTACAACTCAAATTGAGGGCAAACTATGGCACAACTCAAATTGAGGGCAAACTATGATACAACTCAAATTGAGGGCAAACTATGGCACAACTCAAATTGAGGGCAAACTATGGTACAACTCAAATTGAGGGCAAAATATGGTACAACTCAAATTGAGGGCAAACTATGGTACAACTCAAATTGAGGGCAAACTATGGTACAACTCAAATTGAGGGCAAACTATGGCACAACTCAAATTGAGGGCAAACTATGGTACAACTCAAATTGAGGGCAAACTATGGCACAACTCAAATTGAGGGAAAACTATGGCACAACTCAAATTAAGGGCAAAATATGGCACAACTCAAATTGAGGGCAACCTATGGCACAACTCAAATTGAGGGAAAACTATGACACAACTCAAATTGAGAGCAAACTATGGCACAACTCAAATTGAGGGCAACCTATGGCATAACAAAAATTGAGGGCAAACTATG